AGAGGGCAGGGGACAGAGCGCTTGTCACTGTTGCCAGAGTCCACAGCTGGACCCTGAGGTCAGCAGACGGCTCTCACCATGCTGAGTATGTGATCTGTGGTAGGCCAGCATACCCAGATGCTTTGAACAGGTTCTGTCTTGGGTAAGTGGTCCCTGATGCTGGTGGTGAACAGAGGCAGAGGCCATGTCTTAAGCAGTGGACATCCAAGGGCAGAGTAACCAGGCAGAAATGTTTATAGCTCACTGCTGTCTGTTGAGCTAAGTGTCCTGTACTGGCACAGCCTTGGTGATGTATATTGTGTTTATTTTTTGGGGCTACAGAAACGGGCTATAAAAGCAGAAAATCATGTCATGAAGCTGAAACAGGAAATAAGTTTGCTCCAGGTAAGTAGAGAGAAAGATGTCGCTGTTTGCTTTTTCTTTTGTTAGATTCCGTGGATGTGAGTCAGGGAGGGGAAAAAAAAAATCTAAGCTAGGCATTGTGATATTTGTTTATAATCCCAGCATTCAGGAGGCTGAGGCTGACGATAGTTATTAAGTTTAAGGCCAGCCTGGGCTACAGGGTAAGAAGCACCTGTTTTGAGTAGGCCAGGCCAGGCCCAGCCCCATGTGTAAGCCTCTGCCTCTCTGTTGGGATTCACTGGTTTTTCGTGAGGTTGCACTGTAACACTAACTGCTCACCATTCTTCCTAGGTACAGCTCTCCAACTTCAAGCGAGAAAATGAAGCCCTGAGGTCAGGCCAGGGCGCCAGTCTTACAGTAGTGAAGCAGAACACCGATGCCGCCTTGCAGAACCTTCATGTTGTCATGAACAGTGCACATGCATCCATAAAGTGAGTCCCAGGATGGCCTGGCTACCTGATGTTCTAGTTCTACAGTCTCACTAGACCAGAAAGGGAAATGTGCTAAGTAGTCGGTCTAAGTAGTCTGCTAGGTCACACTATAGGTGGTCAAGCAGGATTATTGTTTTGTTTTTGAGACAGGGTCTCTCACCTTGTAGCTCTGACTGGCCTGGAGTTATGTAGACCTGGCTGGCCTTCAACTAACAGAGATCCTTCTGCCTCTGCCCCTGGAGTGCTAGGAGAAAAGGTATGCACTACCACGCCTGACTTGTTTGTAGAGTTGTTTTGTTTTTTGTTTTTTTAAGACAAAGTCTCACTTTGTAACCCTGGCTACTCTGGAACTATGTGTAGAGAAGGCTGGCCTCGGACTCAGAGAATGCCTGCTTCTATTTTCCAAGTTCTGCAACTAAAAGTATGCATTATCATGTCCAATTTAGGGTTTTGTTTATTTTTTATTTTTTTCTCAAGACAGTGTTTCTCTGTGTAGCCGTGGCTGTCCTGGACTCGCTTTGTAGACCAGACTGGCCTTGAACTTACAGAGATATGCCTGCCTCTGCCTCCCCAATTGCTGGAATTACAAGCATGTACAACTGCGCCTGGTAGGAGTTTTACTTTTAATTTGTCCCAGAGAACCTTCCCACTTAGTAGATGTGGTTGACACCATGACTTAATCCAGCTCCTTTACCTGGAGATGCTGCAGCTCTAAATAAAGGGTGTGCTGTAACTTCCCCATCCAAAAGACTGCCACAGTGAGCATGCTGTGCACTAGTAAGTTGTCAATGATAGTGATTAACACCACGGCTGTAGCCTGGTAAACCTGTCCAAATGTACGTAATTCATCTGACCTACTAATCATGAAAGAATAGCTCTCCTCATGACTAGGGACTTGTGGGCTTGCAGTGACTGCTGTCCACATCATTAAGCGTACTGTACCACCAGCTTGGCCTCAGCAGAGCGTCAGAAAATCAGAATCAGTTTCTGGTGAACTTGTCTGGCTTCCAACCCACCTGCCTTCCCTGAACTCTGCTATAGGGTGGCTGACAAATGCACAGGCACATGGGCCTGAGGACAGCCACACAAAATCCAGTGTGCCAAACCTTGGTTAATCTGAGGACTTTTTTCCTCCGGACCCTCTGTTGTAGGAAATATAAAATGCTAATAATGTTTATTATTAAAAGCCTATGATTATTACGGTGGTATTATCTAACCTGCTATCATAATCAATAAAAGACAGAGACACCTGATATAAATAGCCTTATTTACCACCCAGTCCCACATCCCATGCCATTTGCCTTAATCATTCCTATCTGGGCTACTTCCCATCCAATATCCCCACAAATATTTGCACATGCTTTCTATCTGGGCCTCTCCTCTCCACGCCATTCTCAAGAGTTCACTTCTACAGGCCCACACGGTTCTTCACCTATCCCATGGTGGCCCTCCTTTCTCCACCTGTCTCTCTGTCTCTCTCCTTTCCTGTCATCCTTCTCCATCCATGCCTGGGAACTATAGCCATGCCTATCTCAATTCTGCCCTGCCCTGGTGTGTAGGCATTTATTCAGCCAATCAGGGATAATTTGGAGGCAACGATTACAAACATCATTTTGGGGTACATGAGTGTCTGCTGGTATAAGACAGCAAGCAGCCGGGGTTGGGGGGGGGAATAATTAACAACCAAATATAAAGCACCAGACCCTTTTCTATAGATCTGTCTCTGGCTGCTTTATCAGCTAGATTAATGGCCCTTGTATCTGTTTCAGGCAGCTGGTGTCTGGAGCAGAGACACTGAACCTTGTTGCTGAAATCCTTAAGTCTATCGACAGAATTACCGAAGTTAAAGATGAAACAGACTCTTGAGAAGCACTAGCTGCCACCAGTTCTACCACCTCTGCACGGAAGTCACGACACGTCTTCCAAATGTGCTCCTAACTATGCAGCTGTTCAAAGCATTCCACGGCCTAACCAGTGTTCCTGGCCACCTGCAGTACGCGGCTTCTTTCCACCAGCTGCACATAACAGTTTACATGCAGTCCTTTGGGGAAAGCCCCACTATTTGATAGACTCACTGATTCACTGGAAGACATTTTTATAAAATCCAGCAATTTTTAGAAACCACTAAAGCTGAAACAGCACTTTTGTAAGATGCTTTTTCTACTGTCCTCTCACATTTACCTGGAGGATGAGCTCAGGCTCAGCCTCTACTTTTTTAAGCTGAACACTAAGTGAGCCAGTGTGGAAGTAAGCATCCTATACAGGGATTTGTGCTGTTATTCAGTGCCTTGCTAACTGATGGTTGACATTGTGCCTTTAACAGTGGCTCCTGCAGTCAGCAGCCTCACCTGAGGCATCACCACTTGGTAGATGCTGCTGTCCTCCCCCCCGGGACCCTATGAACAAGGTCACAGATTGCAAAGCTTTATAAACTCACTGCTGTGAGCCTTCAGCTTTGGAAAGCCATTTGGACCTGTCACTTGATGCATGTTATGTGTCAGTGTGCCTTGCACAGTCCAGTTCAAACGGGCATAAAGTGCACACCCGATGTCATCGCCAGGTTTCTGGGCTGTCTGACTATTTTTCCAAGGACAAGAAAGACGTAATAGCACCCTGTGTGCTGTGCTGAGGGGTAGGGGTTTGGGGGCCATTTTCCTATAGAATTTTTTTTTAATTTTTCCTTTTCCCCTCCTATTGAGATCAACAGCTTTCTTGTCTAAATAAATCCTGAAGATCATTTGTACTGCCTTGTCATTCTGGCTTAGTCAGAGATTCAAGCTTGAGAGGTCCCCAGCTCTTTTATCCTCAAGGTCTGCATCTCAAGAAGGTATTTTTGTCATGCTGGATTATCAGACTCAAGGTTTTGACCCCTGGAGTCAGGCATATCACAAGAATCACTATGCTAGTAGGATGTGGGTGAGCCACCCCCTAGCTGCACATTTTGAGGCTGGGTCAATAGAAGTCTGGCATATCTCCAGACAAGGCATTACACGTCTGAGCCCTTTAACACAGCCATAAGGAAAGTTACAGCTTTCTAGAAGCCACGGCATAGCGTCTCCACCCCCACTGTTGGTATCAGTGGCTCAGCAGACCAGACAGCAAGTTGGAGGGACATGTAGGGAAACCCAGCCTCGTACTCCTGCCAACAGGGCTTGAGGCAGAGTTGCCATCAAGAGCAGCCCTCAGCCTAACTCCACCACTACTAGTGGATGAGGGGAGCTGCACATACTAATTGTCTTGATTTAGTAAGTGTTCCCACGTGAAAACTTTACAAGCACTGTGGGGCATGGTAGTGCATGCCTTTATTTATAGCACCATGGAGCAAAGAGTATTCTGTTCTACATAGACCCTGTCTCAAAAAACAAAACCCTACAGTTACAAGTATCATTGTAAAACTTGCCTAACAGTTTGTACCAGGGTTCACCCCAAACAAACGGGTCCTTTTACACCAGGAACCAAAAGGTCTGTTTCAGTGCCCCAGACTCACTCTGGCCAAACCCAACTCTGGGCCAGACTTGACTCTTCCTTTTTTGTTTGAGACAGGGTCTATATAATCCTGATGTCGTGGAATTTGCTATGGTAGATCAGGCTAGATTCGAACTCAAGAGATCTGCTTACCTCTGTCTACTGAGTGCTAGAAAAAGGGATGCATAATCTCTTTCCATTTTTGTGACTCTAGTTCTTTGTGGTTCACAATGGCCCTCTCCCCACTCCAGTAGTGTTGCAAGTGGCTTCTTTCCGGTTTTCCGTAGGCCAGGGCCCTTCTCAGATCCCACAACTACCAAGTCGCTGGGCCAGGTTTTCACTAGCCTTGAGCCTCAAGCCACTGTCCTGCCCCTCACAAGCATTAGACACTAGAAAGACAGAAACACACATAACCCCTAGTCAGCAGTTCTGTGATGTGTTGACCTCTTATGCTGGCTAGGCAGAATGTTCCTGACTGAACGAATGTCCACTTCGGGCGGTCCAAGGCTATGGGCTCAAAATACCTGACGACATACTGACGATAGATCCAAACTCAAAACACAGCAATTAGGCTTGTAGCTTCCCACAGAACCCAGACCCAACTAAGAGCCTCGATAGGGCTCCGCCCCCAGCTTGTGTCCCAGCATGCCCTGCGCTGCGGCCTGGGGCGGGACTTCCGGTACAAGTGCCGAGAGTTCCGCGACCGCTAGAAGCTTGATGCGCGAGTGGTCGCCTGGGCGACGGAGCAGGCTGTGGAGAGCGTAGAGAGGCCTAGCAGGTGAGGACTAGCGGGCCACAGCTAGCAGGCGTTTTGTCCAGGAGGAGGGGCGTGGAAACCGATGCTGGAGTGGCCACTACCCTGCCGGAGCGGAAGCACGGAGCCCCGCTGACGTCCGGCAGCTGATGAGACGCAGGGCCGGGTTTGAACAGTGCTATGCGGCCACCCCTGGCTTATTGAATCCAGCCACGAAGGGTGCATTGGCCCCAACTTTCTTGCCCCGAGTCAGATTATGCCCTTAGAAGGGACAGGCAGAAAGGTGACTCTGATGTCAGTAAAGGCTGCCTGTGGCTCCCAACTCAGGACTTGAACATGTGACTTTTTCTTCCTTCACGTGGGCAACGCGGAGGATTAGGAGGGGAGCGGTAGACTTCCTGCTGCCTCAACCAGGAGTCCAGTGGCAACGGTTATTGCTAGGTGTGCAGATCTGGCTACCTTTAGCCAAGTTTGGTTGACAAACGTTCCCAGTGCAAGTAAGACGTCTTGTTCCGGAATCAGGCAAGGCTGCTGTCAACATTTCAGGAAGAAGCCAAGCTAGGAGCAGGATGTTCCTCTTCATTTCTGGCTCTGGGTGTGAACTGTTTGATTTTTGTTTGAAACGGGATCTCACTAATGGCCTGAAACTCGGAGATCTGCTTGCCTGTGTCTCCCAAATGCTGGGATTAAAACACTCAGCTTTCCGGGTTTTTTGTTATTGTTGTTTGTTTGTTTGTTTTGGAGACAAAGTTTGTTTGTGTAGCCCTGGCTTTCCTGGAATTCCCTCTGTAGAACAAGAGGGCCTCTGACTCAGATCCACCTTCCTCTACCTACTGATTTCTGTGATTAAAGGCCTGTACCACCACGCCCAACTTCCACACTCAGCTTTTTATCGTTATTATATTTGTTTATTTACTCATGGGTATGCCACGGTGTGGTGGGTGAGTGGAAAAGGTATGAGGGAAGCCTGGCGTAGGGTCTGTCCACCATGTGGTTCCTGGGACTAAATTCAGTTCATTAGGCCTGTGGGCAAGTGCCTTTCTCACCCACCTAAGATTGTATTCTCTAATAGTCTTTCATCCTTCTCAATTTCCTTTGCCCTCAAACTCTGCTTACAGTGTATCCAAGAAAAAGTCTCCTTTATGCTTTAGCAGACAGTTGCTCAGCGTCAGGCAGCACTGTATGCCAGGTACTGTTCTTAAAAGATAGATCAGGGAGCAAGCAAAGCTTTACTGTGAGGGCTAGCCATTCCACACCATGTAGAGCACCTGAAGTAGTGGTCAAGGGTTTAGATCACAGGCTGAACTTCTTTTGCTCTGCACTTCCTGTACTTGGTGATCAGTGGACACCTGAGGGAGTAAAATCCACACAGGTGAACTGTGTTACCTATGCTGGTGGTAGTCTCAGAGAAAGCAGGGTCATTTTCAGGTGTTGAGTCAAGAGCAGGAGTTCTTGGGTGTTAAAAGAGTGTCAGCTTGTAGGAATTTAACCTCAGGGCATCCCTAAGTTGATTTTGAGCCTGAGTTTTTGTCTGGGTAGCCCACTGCCTGCATCTGAACGGGCTCCTGCCATCTCCAACAAGTGTCTGAAGGAGGGTGAGATCCAAGCACACTCAATATCTCATGTTTCATAATACTATGAAAGCAGGCCGAAGCCATGGACATAGACGCTGAGAGAGAGAAAATAACACAGGAGATCCAAGAGCTCGAAAGGATTTTGTATCCTGGGTCCTGCAGCATCCCCTTGGAGGTCTCGGATTCCAGTCTCAGTTCGGACTCTGAAGCAGGTATGCCCATGTGCCTGGGCTAGTATGGCATGGCTAGAACAGCTGTCTGTACTCTTTAGCTATATTCGACTGTGGGCTACTCTGGCTAGACTGTTTCTTGTCCAAACTGTCCTTTGCTTTTCCATCAACAAGAAAATTTCTCTCAGGCCTGCTGACTATATGTGGGATCCTGGTGGGGAGGAAGGCCGGGATTCAGCCTGTCAGCTTGACTAGTCTCCATGGCACAGGCACCCAGAATTATTTTTCCCTGAGATTATTATATAGCCCTTCAGTGGGACCCTGTTGTGAACGTTTGTTCTTACATGCAACATAACTATGCTCCCACTCCAACATTGTATGCTTGTGTTTCTTACAGATTTCGTGCCTGATGAGAACTTGGAAATTGCTGGTGCCCCTGTCCTGGTAATTGTTGCTTATAAGGCTGGGCTGCTGGATCATATCTGCTACCCCCTTCCAAACTGGCCCAAGAGGGCTTGGTTTGCATCCTTGTTGGTTTTCCTACAACTACAGCTTATTTATTGTGAAAATAAGCCCTCACAAAGTACTCCCTTCTTTCTGTAGTACTAGAGATGGGCTCATATGCACTAGGCTCACACTCTACCACAAAGCTGGATACAAATTATTATCCAAACTAAAGTTTATCCACAGAAGTACCCACTCTAATAGGCTGGTGACTACAACTGCTGGCCTTTCCTGAGCTCACACTAAAAGCATCAGATGTGGGAGGCAGCATACTGTGTTATCTGGGACCTGCTCCACAGCTAACCTGCTGTACTTCTGTTTCCTAGTCTGCACAGTGGTCACCGTAGATGACGTAGAAAAACACTGACATATCTGTTCATACCAGTGTTGCTAACCATGCTTTGTTCATTTTGAGAATTTGTTTGGAGAAATTTTTACAGTTTGGTTATTTTCTTACCAAGCAAATGAGAGTAGAGTTTCTTGTGTTTAAGGACTGTGTGTCTGCTCAATAGACACAGCTCTGTAGTCACTGGACATTTGGCAATCTCAGGTTTTGACACTGATGACTGGCTATGAGGGAGTTTCCTTGCTGAGATCTGACACTTGAGATGTTGGGGGTGAGGCAAAAAAAACGTTGCTCTGAAGTTTAGGCTTCACAGATGTCTGTTGTAAAAAAAAAGGAAGCTGCTTGCTATAGTACACCAACCCCCAACTCTAGCATACACTTTACAAGCAGATCTTATGTAGTTGATTTGAAAAGATGTATATACTCTACCTTGAAGATAATGGGCTATGTGTAACACCCCCCTGGTAGGGTTCCACATTCAGTGGGCTTATACTAGTGGTGCCTTGGTGCCTCAGTGTCCCTTGTGGGCTTAGTCTTGAGCTTGGCAACAAGGAGGAGGTTGCCTATGTTCTGTCTCTTTGTTTGCTGTTTCTGGCTCCTAACCAGGAAGAAGAAAGGTGGAGTGAGGCCAGCAATGATGAGGAGGACCCAAAGGACAAAGCTCTTCCTGAAGACCCTGAGACATGTCTGCAGCTAAATATGGTTTACCAGGAGGTGATCCGAGAGAAGCTGGCAGAGGTTAGCCAGTTGCTAGCCCAGAACCAGGAGCAACAGGTAAGAGAGCCTTCTCAAGGCCGGTATAACCTCCTGACACTCAGTGCCCCAAGTTTCCTGGACGGGGCTCAGGTGGATCTGCTCACCACCACCTGTCCTTTTCCTCTACCTGGCCCACTAATGGCATGCGTTTGTCTCAGGAGGAGATCCTGTTTGATCTGGCTGGGACCAAATGCCCCAAGGTAAAGGATGGCAAAAGCCTGCCCTCTTACATGTACATAGGCCACTTCATGAAGCCATACTTCAAGGACAAGGTCACTGGAGTGGTGAGTAGTAAAGATCCCTCTCTCAGCAGTTGGTTGAGTGTCCAGGGGGGAAGGGGCTCTCTTCTCCACAGCCTATTGTGAGCGCTTGTGAGTTCCCTTTGGGTTAACATTCTCCATCATCCTTAAAACTGCCTCTTCCTCTGGGCTGTGTTTCCCTAAAATAGAGTCACAGCATTTAGTCAGTAGTATAGATCTGAAACTTTGCTGATGGCCTTGCATGCACATCATCTTCATAGAGTCTCTGGCCACTTCTTTGTACTGACTATACTACCTCATGTTCAAAGTTTTTCATTCAGTAGTATCTTGTAGTACAGAGGTCTTGAGGTCTTGAGCCTGGCCCTGCTCAAGGAGGGGGGTGGGAGGGAAGATTTTGAGTCTCCATGGGAACACTGGAGGGTGAATGTGGTTGCTGTGCCATGTCCTGACACTGTACCCTCTTACAGGGGCCTCCTGCCAATGAAGACACACGAGAGAAAGCTGCCCAAGGAATCAAGGCCTTTGAACAGCTCTTGGTGACCAAGTGTAAGAGTCTAAGCAGGCCTTGACTGCCATGGAAACTGCAGAGGGCATCCCCACAGCCTGACATCTTCAAGGCATATGCTATAATTCTCAGGCTTGTCCTTCCTATGACATCATATACTCCTTTAGGCTTTTGTCACTGGGACTGGCCACTTGACACTTTGCCTTTGCAGTGCTGAGTGTGGTGCAGGCTAGGCCACACATACAGCCCTTCCCTAATCTAGCTATTCTCAGAACCCCTAATCTTGAAAGACTACCTTCAGGTAGAGGATGGATTCATGGGTTGGAAGGTGTTCTGGCTAGCTGCCCTACTTGCATCCAGAGATGTAGCCACTGCCTTTCTGGAGCGGTGAGCAGGGGTAGGCTAGGGCTGAAGAGCAGATTCAGTGGATATGTATGTCTGGAAGAAGCAAGGTCTCATGGCATCACCTCACTATTTCTACTTCCTCAGGGAAGCACTGGGAGAAAGACTTGCTCCGGAAGTCTGTAATGAGTGACCGCCTGCAACGCCTGCTTCAGCCCAAGTTGCTGAAGTAAGTCTGGAAACAGGTCATCAAAGCCTTCCCCATATTTGAAAGCCAGGCAGCTGTGGGGCTAGTGAAGTTTATCTTATCACATGACCAAAGGGCAGCAGGCAGTGTCTGATGTGAGTACGCAATGAAAGGCATTATCGTTTTGATAAATTACCACCATCAATATTGAGCCCATAAGTCCAGAGGTGGCTGGTACCCTCTGGCCCAGCTCCAAGAGACATCCACTCTGGTGTGCTGACAATTGGTGCTCAATATTGATGGTGGGAATGGCACCATTCCTGAAGGCTGAGAGACAGCTCTTCCTTCCCAGCCAGTTCTGTTTGCTGTTAGCAGTTGCTGCAGAGCTAAGTCAGACTTGCCTGAGATGTCTGTGTCCTGGAAGCCAAGATTTAGAAGAGAGTCCAGGCTCTGAAATACAGGCAGCTATCACCTACCTCTGCAAACAACCTGGCAATTCTTTCCCTGATTGGTGCTAGTCTGATGGTAGGGGTACCCCAGAGGTGGTGCCAGGGCTTCCCTTATGGTAAAGGACCAAGGCAGGAGAGAGAGCACATTCCTATACAGGCTTCCCAACATTGAGCTCTGAGACTTGAACAGGAGCAGTTCAGAGAACAGGGCCTGAGCTTACATGATACATCCCATGCATGACTCTCCTCCACTTTGTCTTCCCTGCAGGCTTGAATACTTACATGAAAAGCAGAGCCGAGTCTCCAGTGAGTTGGAGAGGCAGGCCCTGGAGAGGCAGGTTAAGGAAGCAGAAAAGGAGATTCAGGACATCAAGTAAGCCAGGGCCTGCTGGGTCTTGGGAATAGCTGCAGGCCTTGCATGGTACCAGCTCCTGTTCTTTCTGTTAGCCAGCTCACAGAGGAAGCTTTGCTGGGGAACCGGCTAGACAGCCATGACTGGGAGAAGATTTCCAACATTAATGTAAGTCAAGCAGACCTAGGTGTCCACAGCTGCAGTAGTGCTTCTAAACCAAGTGTAGGTGGGAACTGGGTGGTGAAGCCTTCCATCCCTTGTGCCTTAATCCACAATAAAGTCTGCAGTCAAGTATGCCTAGCAGTTGGAACTGGCAAAGGACTTCATGCAACTCTCCCCAACAGACAAAGTGCCCCTCCTGAAATGGACAGTCTTTACTGCCATTTGTCTGCACAAATGAGTCCATTTAATTAATAGTCACAGAAGCCACTGCCTGGCATACAGTGGCAACCCATCCAGGAGCTATGTCTTTGTTATGGTTGGCATCAGCAACCCCTCTGAAGTCTATGTTCTCATGGGTGCAGTTTGAAGGACGCCGCAGTGCAGAGGAGATCCAGAAGTTCTGGCAGAGTTCTGAGCACCCAAGCATCAACAAGCAAGAATGGAGCACAGAGGAGGTAGAGCAGCTGAAAGCCATCGCTGCCAAACACAGCCACCTGGAGTGGCATTTGGTTGCAGAGGAACTAGGGGTAAGCACCGGGACCTTGGAAGCTGGGAGGACATGGGCTTCTGGGCTTGGAGTAGAGCTCAGTCTCATGCTATGTAGTTTGGTACACATCAGAAATTGATTTGTTTGGCAAATCGTGCTTTTAAAGAAAATAATTAGTCTCTCACTTTCTTAACTTTAAATTCCATTTTGTCTGGTAAAAATGTCACCTTTTACTTCATTTCTTTGGTTTTTGTTTGCTGGAAATAAAAGCCTAGAAGCAAACCATAGCTGAGCACTTAACACATCTAGCGCCATGAGTCCTATGATTAGAGAGCTGGCTCCAATAGAGTGAGTCTACTGGAAAAGCCTTTCTATGAGGGATGAGTGATAGAACTAGTGCAACAGCAGTGTGACATGGCTGGAGCTTATCTGCTGGTACTCCTTTCGGAGGTTGTGCCCCTCATCCCAGCCCTATGGCTATCCTCACTAAAGGCTCTACATAGGCTGCATTAGAGCTTGAGACTTAGAGGGATACCTGTGAAAGGCTTTGAGAGGCATTTTACAGCATTTTCTTCCATCCCTCTAGGAACTAGCAGTGTGGTTTGGACATCTATCTGAGTTAGTTATCACAAGGATTTTTCTTGCTGTTTTTAAGATAGTGTATCACTCTTAGTCCAGGCTGGCCTGGAGTACACAGTGTAGCGCATGCTGACCTCAAACACTTGTGCTTCAGGCCCCCAAATGCTAGCATTAGCAATATAGCCATCTATAGCCAAGTGTTGTTTTCTTTTGTTTGTTTTTGTAAGCCAAAGAGCCCTCTCCGAGCTGCTCCTTTCCTGGGTCCCCACCATGGTCTAGCAAACTATGACCCTACAGGAGCCTGAAGGAGGAGAGTTCCATTGTACAGAGTGGTACTTGTGGCTCAGGCCTGTCTGTCTTCTAGAAGCATTTGAAGGGCTGTTCTGGGTATCTGTGCATGCAGTGATGCCCATTTTGTTTCTGTTTGGCCTTGGGAAGACAAACCGCAGTGCCTTCCAGTGCCTGCAGAAATTCCAGCAGTACAACAAAGCCTTGAAACGCAAGGAATGGACAGAGGAAGAAGACCACATGCTCACCCAGCTGGTCCAGGAGATGCGCGTTGGGAACCATATCCCATACCGCAAGAGTAAGCACACCACACCAAAAGGCATCTTCCAGTTGTTGAGCTGCTCCAAGCCATAGTAGCCTATGGCTCCAGGTGCCTGGAAGCAGAGACTTGCAGAGGAGTTTACCATTGTACTAAGGAGAAGTGGGAGGGGGAGTGAAGGTCCTGATGACCTCAGTGATTCCTCTCTGTAACTTAATGGGAGGCCTCTCTGTCCCTGCCTATTGCCTGCTAGGATAGATGAGTCCCAGTCTTCTCTGTCCCCAGTTGTCTACTTCATGGAAGGGAGAGACTCCATGCAACTGATCTACCGTTGGACCAAGAGCTTAGATCCCAGCCTGAAAAGGGGACTCTGGGCCCCAGAGGAAGATGCTGTAAGTTTGGCACCCAGAGAAAAGTGTCCCAGGAAGTTTGTCTGGTTGTCCTAAGTGCAATCATTTGCCCTTCATAACTGAGAGACCTCAGGGTGGGGAGGATATGGCTATATGTTGTAGAGGCAAATGGTCTGTTTGCTTCTTTCCTGCAGAAGTTGCTTCAAGCTGTCGCCAAGTATGGGGCGCAGGACTGGTTTAAAATCCGGGAAGAGGTGCCAGGTAGGAGCGATGCCCAGTGCAGAGACCGGTGAGTGCCCGCACTGGCTGAAGGAGTGGCTTGCTTGAGTCACGCTTCTACAGGCTAAGTGACAGCAGCCCAACAGTGATACGGCCACAGGGGCTTTCCATACTGCAGTTGGCACTATTGGGAAGGAGGACTTTCGTCTTTCTGTTGTCCAACGGGAGTCAAATGCTAGTGGCAACTCTTACAGGTGTCCTTCCACATTGCTGGTGGGAAGGTCCCCAGCAGGCTACTGGGATTCTCTCCTTTTCTCCCTAGTTTTTTTCAGTGGTTTGTTCAGACGTAGTTCACGTTAACTGTTAATGTAAATCACTTTGATCACCCTACAAAGAATTACACACAAAACCCCACAGAATCCTGTTTGAAACAGGCAAAGGTCTTCATCAGAGATGCACAAGTAGCCAAAAGGCCCATGAAAAGATGCTCAGTTACTAATTTCAGGAATGCAAGTCAAAAACCACAGTGAAATATTTCACACATGTATGGAGCTGTTTAAAACATGCATGCACGCACGCACAGTAACAAGTGTTGGGGGGGGCGGGGGACTCAGCAGAACACAGCCTCCAGAGAAACCAGAACATGGGGCAGTGTAATCTGTACCTGCAAAATTTAAGCATCCCAAGCAGGAGTTCTTGTATTGGACAAGAATGTTAGTAGGCCAGGCACACGGCTGTAATCTCAGAACTTGGGAAGGCAGAGGCAGACTAAATCCAGAATAGCAAACCCTCTTGTGACACGCCCCCCCCCCCCCAAAAAAAATGTTCATAGAACATCCTTCATTGTCAGAAAGTGTTGGGTACAAATTTGGAGTTCTGACATTTGCAAGGAAGGGCAATCTGATAGAGGTTGATAGATGTACATTTGGATAAAAGGTACACGAGCCTTGAAAATTTGGACAAGTGTTTATCAAGACATGCTCATTTCCCTCAAGTCAGTGACTCTTATATTTGGCTTTTGGGGGAGCTGCCGGACTTTGTGTGAAGTGTCTCTCTTTTGTATTCCCCAAAAGCAGCATGTGAGGCTTTCTAACACTCACCCCAGCATTCATTTCTGTTGTCACTGTCTCTGTGGCTACACCCTTTCAAGTGCCCATGGAGTGGACTCTCACAGTCTCATCACATAGCAGCCCCTTGTGGTTAACTGTTGAGCTTCTTTGCTGGTGACTGCTGGCTTCTTACACATGTCCATCTCTTTGGGGAAACATCTGTTAAGTCCATTGCCTGGTTTAAATTGTTTTTGCATTACTGGCTTTTGAGGGCTCTTAATGAGTTCTAAATGCAAGTCCTACTAGTCAGATGCAGAATTTGTATAGTACTCCAGTCTATGGCTTATCTCTTCTTTCTTGATCAGCTCCCTTAAAGCAGTGGCTCTCAACCTGCGGGTCGCAACACCTTGGTGGGGAGGGTGACCCCCTTTCATGGGGGTCTCCTAAGACCATCAGAAAACACAGATATTTACAAGTCATAACAGTAGCAAAATTTGTTATGAAGTATCAATAAAAAATAATTATATGATTGGGGGTCACCACAACATGAAGAGCTTTATTAAGGGGTCACAGCATTAGGAAGTTTGAGAACCACTGCCTTAAAGCATAAATTTTTAAACTGTGCTGAGAAGTGGTAGCACATGACTTTGATCCCGGTACTCAGGAAGCAGAGACAGGTGGCTCTCCAAGTTCAGGGCCAGCCTGGTCTACAGAATGAGTTTCAGGACAGAAAAAAAAAATTTTTAACATTTGCTGAAGTCTAGCTTCTTTTATTAATTAATTAATTAATTTTTGCTTGTGATTATTATTCTAAGAAATAGTTGGTGAAAGCAGGAGTACTGTGAAGGGTTCTTAGCACCTAAAATGTCCCTCTGTTTCCATACCATTTTCAGCTACATCAGAAGATTACATTTCAGCTTGAAGAAGGGACGATGGAATGCAAAAGAAGAGCAGCAGCTGATCCAGTTAATAGAAAAGTATGGTGTTGGTGAGTTGTTGGGCACTACCAGTTGCTACTGGCCCTGATGATACTGTGAATTCTTGCAGCCCATCTGGAGACTCTATCTGCTCAGATTCCAGGCTTCTGCCTCATTCCAGTCTTCCCAATGGCAAATACTCTTCTGTTTTGTTTTGTTTTGTTTTGTCTTGGTTATGGGGATGGATTTGGAATCCAGGACCTCGCTCTGGGTAGGCAAACAAAGCCTATAAAACATAAGGTGGAAAGCATTGAGCATTACCCAATACTCACCTCTGGCCTCCGTGTTCACATGCACACACATGTACCTGCCATCATTGTGTCACCAATATTATCATACCATGCTACCATTTGGGAATCTTCTGGTTCTCCTTCCCCTTGGCTTCAGAGGCTGCCTTGCTATCTGTGCAGAGGAGCCTCTAGGATATTTAGTCAAATCTTTTTGTTTTGTTTTACCAAGACAGGGTTTCTCTGTAGCCCTGGCTGTTCTGGAACTCACTCTGTAGACCAGGCTGGCCTCAACTTAAGATCCTCTGCCTCTGCCTCCCGAGTGCTGGAATTAAAGTGTGAGCCACCGTGCCCGGCTTCACTCAAATCTTTTGCCACTATCATTTGCAGTCTTTCTCAATTTTTTACTACCAAGTCAGCCAAGTGTTTATAACTAAATCTTGCTGATATTGGTGATACCTCCAATAAAAAAAGCAAATTATGGTTCAGGGATACATAAAACACAGAAGAGATTTTGTCACCTGTTGTCACACTGCCCCATATGTGTAACTTGCAGTGTGCCTCTGCAGTACTCTGAACAGAGCATTGGCAGTGTCTCTGTAGACCTTTGTGCAGCAGATGCACTGAGGCCTAGAGTGACTCCCTTTCAACCCTTGTGTGCCAGTAGCACATTTCCTCAAGGGGCTTCTCAGCCCTGAGATTCAGATGCTGCCAAACACAGGTGTTCTGACAGAGCACGTGAGGGAAGATCATCCTGATGACCAGCCTCTGTCCTAGAGGCTGGTCTAGTGTGGTTGTTTTTACAGGTCACTGGGCAAGAATAGCTTCTGAACTGCCCCATCGGTCAGGCTCCCAGTGTCTGAGCAAGTGGAAAATCTTGGCCAGGGTGAGACATTTCTTTCTGTGTATATGCTTTGCTTGAGCTCAGATGAAAGGGCCATAACCTGTGGGAGAGCTTGGGCAAGATGAGGTATAGTGGGGGCAGGGGAATGCACAGGTTCTGGCCCTTGCATGTCCTCTTCTAGAGGTCCAGGGCAGAGGGAGACCATACCTCAGCAGCAGTGTGCCCTGTCCCTGGAGAACACACTGTTCATGTCTCTGTTCATGCCTGGGACCTCTCCTTAAGGCTATCCTACATGTCTTACACACATGGTTGGGTAGCTGAGATCTGAAGCAGCCCCATTTCTCCCCTCAGAAGAAGCAGCATTTCCAGAGGAGGAAAAGGCAGAAGCCTCATCACAGTAGCCAGTGGAGCTCTAGCAGCAGCAACAGCAGTGGCAGTGAGGTCTATGACAGCAGTAGCAGCAGCAGCAGCGAAGACTCAGATGTGGAGCCAGAGGAGTCTCTGGAGAATGGCAGAGCACTGGGTCCTCAACAGTACAGGGTGCCAGACATTGACCTGTGGATTCCGACCAGGCTGGTTACCAACCAGTCACAGAGAGAAGGGACAGGGTGCTACCTAGCACATCCTGCTGTTCCCTCCTACACTCCTGATACCACTCAAAGTCACCACAAGAAAGGTTCCACCACAGTCTCTGCTCCTGAGATAAGCCAGCTGCAGATGCCCTGTGAGACCCACGGCACTGTTCCAAAAGGGGTCCAGTTCCTACGCTTACCGGACACTCGCCTAGCAAGTGTGAAGGACCCTGCCTGCAAGGTGGGCCCCAGTGCACCCTAGTATGTGAGCAAGGGGAAGTGGTGGGTGTTCTGTGTGCAGTCTGGGAAGTTGGGTTTCTGACCTGGCAATAGCTGTGTCCTCTTGTTCACTAGAACGTATTACTTAGGGCTGGTTTCAGGGTTGCACAGTAGCAGTGGCCTTCATAGGAATTACGGCCTCCATTGTCCCTCGGTCATTTGCTTTAAAAGCTTTAAGGACATCTGCTTCAGGGCACATCTGAGTGGGCAGTTTCCCACCTCCAACTGGTGTGAGCCCCTGTGGTGTTTTTAGGTAATGTTAGTCCAACCTGGATGGTCATAAGCATCTACCTAAACCCCCTCTGTCCTCAGAGTTGGGGCCTGGGGCCTGATGCAGCTCTGGCAGTGGCTGGAACAGCCTTTGGGCTATGTAGGCTACTCTGCTTCTCTGCCCTGGGGGTTACTGGAGGTAACAGTCAATTCAGCTATGGATCTGCCTGATGTGTGGGCGGGCCAGAACATCTCTTAGAGAGGGAGAAGCCAGGCCCTACTTGAAGACCACAGAGTTCTTTGCCAAATAGCAAGTGGTGTTCATACTGTATGTTATAGAGTCTTCACAGGAGGTGTTAATCTGCACAGTGACAGGCCTGCATCAGGTCCTGCTGTAGCCAGCCTCACAGAGTCTCTTTTAATGTACAGCATGTGTTGAAAGTGCCCCTAGAGAAAATGCTGAAGTTGATCAGGACTCGCCCAACCATCCAGAGCCACACACTGGTGAAGGAAAGACTGAGGCAGCCACCCCTGCCTAATTCACGCTCAGGATCTGACCCTGGTGACAGTGTGGCTGGGCTTCATCTACGGCGGCCGTGGCATGGAGCTCTCCAGAATAAACAGAGACGCAAGAGACAGGCTCTGCACTGCAGGCTTCTTAAGCACAGGCTTCTGCTGGCTGTGATACCCTGGGTTGGTGATATCAACCTGTCCTGCGCACAAGCTCCCCAGAGACCTGCAGCAGTGCAGACTCAAGGTACTTGCAAGGCTTTTTGGGAGCTTCCTGGAGCCGGGTGGGAGCAGGCAGTGGAAGTGCTTCACCTTGTGGCAGGGTGGTCCATAGGGGAGTGTCTGAACGCGTCCTTTGGAGGGGAAGGTCCATGAAGGACAAATAGGATTATCCCTTAAGGTTTGAGAATAAATAGTTGGGCCACCCTTTTCTCCTTGCTCTTGTGAAGCTAGGGCCAGCTGGATTTGGGGTGGTGATGAGAGGCCCTGCCTTCTGCTTTTTGAGGTAGTGTGGCGCTCTAAGGCTGCTCTGCCACACAGTGTTGGGGATTCTTTTCGAGGGTAGTTTCAAAACTGGAGCCACTTTGCACTTTGCCCTTGTCCTCTAGCTGACAGCATCAGGATGCAGTTAGAGTGTGCCCACCTGGCCAGCACTCCAGTGTTCACATTGTTTATTCAGGTAAGCCCCCAGCAGAGTGCTGTCTGCTTTGTTCTGTTCTTCTGCTGAAAATTTGAAGCTTGTAGGAGGTTGACACATTACAGTCACTATATTTTGGATCTTTGAAAGCAGTCTCCTGGTAACCTGCAGCTTTCAGCAGATTAATGTGAAAGGGATCTTTGGCTCTTTGGCATTTGCTATCCATTGAGTTAAGCAATGACTTAGAAAAGAGACAAGCGCCTGGACCCCAGGTCTAAGATGAGGGAGAGGTAGCCCTGGGATGTGATAGGAACTTGGGTTGGGTCCCACTGCAAGAAGGGATAGCAGCATGGAGTCCAAGCTGGAGGCTATGAAACAGCCATGACCTCCCTGGGCAGTCAGAAGCTTTAGGCATGTGGATCTACTAGGATAGCCATTGACAGGGCTACTTCCCTTGTCCTGGCCCAGTGCATGGTAGAGCAAGAAGGTTCTTATTCTCAGTTCTCTCAGCTCTTGCAGATTGATACTGCAGGCTGCATGGAGGTGGTTCAAGAGAGGAAAACTCAGGCATCTATATTGCTCCAGCCTGGTACCCAGAACCCACAGCCACACCTTGTGCAGGTAACACATCTGGGGACAAAAAGTGAGGACAAACTGGGTATGGTGGCATATGCCATTAATCCCAGCACTTGGAAGGCAGAAACAGGTGGATATCTGAATTCAAAACCAACCTGGTCTGCATAGTGAGTTTTAAGCCAGCCTGGCCCACATGAGACCCTGCCTCAAAAGAGTAGTGAGAACAAATACCACCCAACCCCAACCCTAACCCCTGTCCCAGAGTGACCCAGGGTCAGGGTCTCAACCTTTCCTTGGAGGGGCAATTCCCAGGCATTTCCATAGAAAAGTGTAGCTCTCCCACTGAACAGCCCCTACCGTACCTTCTCCAAGGGTGCAAGGTAGGCTATGGGTGGGCAGGCCAGCTGTAAGCCCTGGTCTCTGCACGTCCCTAATACCATCTGTCTACGAACCGAACTCATGAGCCCACGGTTTTGGGGAGGCATCACCTTGGAGCGCTATCACCTGAGGAGACGGTGAACCAAAATAGAACAACCCATAATCCCTACACTGTCAAGTGATAACCTGATAAGCTCTGGCCAAGCAGCTTTTAGTGGAGCTATACTGAAAGCCTACAACAGCAGCTGTTATCCTTTCCTAAGACCCCCAAGCTTAGTGCAGATGGGTGGGCTCCCAGAATTACAGGGGGTGGTGAGTGGGAAGAAGTGGTGGCATCCAGCAGAGATTCTACAGGCTGACTCTCCTTTTTTCACAGGCGTCCTCCAGTGCCAAGAACAGCACAGGTACCAAACGCTACATCTCTCTCTTATGGTGGGAAATGCCATGCATTTGCACTACAGCCTCTAAACAGCACAACCAGCGGCCTTGGGAATACACTAGAAGGGCCTGAAATTGCTTCGCCTTTCACCTTCCAGTTGCCAGTAGGGACTCTAGGGGTCCTGTTTTTGAGGATGCTAGAGATTTAGAAGCTAGTCTTTCATTGTTAGTAGTAGACTAGGCTATCTCTGGCATCTGTCTCTCCCCCTCACTGTTTCTCCTTCTTTTCCCCTCTTTCCCCTCCCTCTCTCTGTTTCTCTCCCTCTCTCTCTTGAGTTTCTTGGGTTGGGTGGGTTGGGGGCCCATGAGGTGAGCTGGAGCTCTCATATTGGCTTGCTAGTGTCCTGGGGCACAAGAACCTGAGGTTCTCAACTCTTCCTATAGGCTGCCCCCTCCCAAGCATGCCGTGTCAGCAAACTGCAAACAGAGCCTGCCACAAAGATCGTCCACGCCTGGGGTTCTGCAGGGCTGAAGCTACCTCCTCCCAAGTTTCTGTAGCAGCCCCACATGGCCTCCGGCCAAAGCCCAAGACTGTATCTGAGCTGCTTCGTGAGAAGCGGCTTCGAGAGTCCCGTGCCAAGAAGGCCACTCAGGCCCTCACTGCCCTCAACAGCCAGCTGCTGATCTCCCCTGTGATCCTCCAGCCTCCTCTGCTGCCAGTCCCCCAGGGTTCCCCAGCAACAGGCCCTGCAACAGCCAGTTTAGAACTCTCTGTACCTGTGGCCCCAGTGATGGTGAGTTCAAGTCCTGGCTCCTGGCAGGTGGCTGGGATCACAACCACAGAGAAGCAGCCCCCCAGCCTGCAAACCATTCCCCTTAATCCTTCCCACAAAGGGACCCAGGTTGCAGCCCCCACTGCTTTTAAGAGTCTGGCCCTAGCGCCCAGGCAGGTTCCCACGAGCTGTCCTCAGAGTGCTCGAGGAGAGTCTCGGGCCTACGCCACACCTCAGGAGCAGGGCCTGCCCATTCTCCCAGCACCCCCCAGCCTCACTCAGCTGTCTGTGCAACCCCTCAGTCTGCCACCAGTTCTTAGCCCACAGGCAAGTGGGCAGCCTATGGCAACCAAGGCCAGTCTGCCTGTCAACTGGGTTCTCACAACTCAGAAGCTGCTCTCTGTCCCAGTACCAGCTGTGGTAGGCCTCCCCCAGTCAGTGATGACTCCTGAGACCATAGGACTGCCAGCAAAACAGCTACCTTCCCCGACCAAGACTCTAGCTTTCCTGGGGCAGCCTGCAGCCAGTACAGACACAGGGTCCAAAGGGTCTCAGGGCCGGGAAATACCACCCACATCTGGTCCTGAAAAAAAGGCCTTGGACCTAAGTCTGCTTTCCCAGGAAAGTGAGACAGCCACACTGACATGGCTGAAGGGGTGCCAAGGTGCTTGTGTGCCCCCACTAGGGAGCAGGATGCCCTATCACCCCCCTTATCTGTGCAACTTGAGAGCATTGTCCAACCTCCTCCTCCATAAAAAGGACTTGGAACAGAAGGCTTCCTCTCTGGTAGCCAGTCAGACAGCTGGGGCCCAACCTGATGCTGGGGCCCTACAGTTATCCCTGGGGCTGGTACAGAGGCAATTCCAGGACAACCCAGCCTACCTCCTGCTAAAGACACGTTTCCTGGCGATCTTCTCCTTTCCTGCACTCCTGGCTACTCTGCCCCCCAATGGTGTCCCCACTACCCTGTCACCAGCCATGGCTACGGGTTCTGAGAGTGACAGTGAAGACCTCGGTGATCCGGAGCTCAAGGACAGGGCTAGGCAGCTGGACTGCATGGCCTGCAGAATGCAAGCAAGCCCAGCAGCCACAGACCCTGTAGAGGTAAGGATGCTAGACTGAGCCCCACCTCCGCTGTGGCAGGCCCTGCAGTGCCCTCCCTGCCGCTGTGTGGCCTGCAGGGAGTGGTGAGCTGGGCAGGTGGAAATTGTGCAAGAGAGAAGGCTGTGGGTTTCTGAAAGAGGAGGAAGCCCATCCTGTCTGCCCAGTTGGGAAAGGGTTTCTCAGCAGAAGTTGCCTCTCCTAGGCTAGGTGTAGCAGGAGGAGACAGCCTTCTAATATACTCCCACCTCACTCACATACCACACACCCAAAGGTAGAGATTGGCTTGACACGTGACTGTCGGGTGGGCTGTAGGTACACTGGAGGTATTTATCATTTGCCTTTGTTCCTGTTCTTGTGTGTACAGAGTTCCTCCCAGATATCTCTTGCTCACAGAGAGCTAGCCCTGACAAGACAGTATGTTTCTCATTGGAGCCTAGGGACAAAATGTGTGGGCTTATTTCCCTGCCTTACCTGGCTACTCCCAAAGAGCCCTATAAGCCTCTTCCCCTTCAAGGCTTAGATGTGTGGAGCCTTTCCACAGCTGTCACTCCTTTCCTGGTTGTACTATCCTAGTTCCAGAGTGACCTCCCAGCCCCCATCTCAGGCAGGGTTTCTCTGTGTGAGCTTTGGCTAGCCTGGACTCACTTATGTAGACCAGGCTGGCCTCAAACTCACAGAGATCCTCCTGCCCCCAAGTGCTGGGATTAAAGGCCTGTGACACCACCCCCAGCTCTTTGGCATCTGTTCTTGTCTCTGACTCCATTGGCTTGCACCTCAGCAAGAGAGTGGCTGTTATACAATTGCCTAATGGTTGGAGACCTTACCTGTGGGGCAGAACTCCAGAAAGCTAGGACCTAACTCCTTCCGTGTACCTGTCCTGGCAAAGCATGCCCTAGGAACTGCCTGTCCCTGATGTTTTGGTTGGGGTGGTAGTGGGGGCTGTTCTCAGAGTCCTCCCTTTTCCATTTCCTACCTATCCTGGCTGGGGTCACTCTTAGTTCCCCTGGCCTGGCCTTCTGATGTTTCAGAGAGTTCCGGGTCCTCATGAGGATTCTGCTCCATCCCACCTGGATACTTCTGATGACCTTGATGTGCTCAGGACTCGACGTGCTCGGCATTCCCGGAAACAGAGGCTGCTGTGAGCAGCAAGGTGAGTCCCTATGAAAGCTGCCACCCTGCATTCAGAAAGAGGCAGACTTCAGAATATGGGCTCCATCTGCCTGTTCTGGGAAAAAACTGAGCTGAGGGGAGGAAGCCCCATGTTGCTCAGTGTGCCTCTAAGCGTTGGCACTACCCCCCTCTGCCTGCATTTTATTCCCTTCCTCCCTGGAGTATCAGCTTTCAGAAGCACCCTCTTTGTCTGCTTTTCTGAGGTGGTACTGCTGTGTCAACATAAGTTTGGGGGTGTTCACCACATGCATAATTACTTTCAGTCTCTGACCACAAGCCCTAGACTGTTTCTAGTCACTATTATCATGACTTCTTTCATTCTGGGTCCCTGGATCCAAGTCAGCAAGGAAAGCAAGGACGCTGATGGGACTGTGAGGGGTGCTTAGGATGTTCTAATTGGCTTATGAAGAAGCCACCATAGATTGTGCTGCCTGTCTTCACAGTCTACTGCCAGTTCAGTCTCTGCCTTTCATCTGTGCAGTCTGTCTAGATGCCTGGGGCCTGATGAAATGCAGGCACTATCAAGAGTATCTCTGTGTTTCAGGACAAGGACTCAAGAGGTCTAGAAACCCATTCTTACACCATGCCTGACAAGAAGCCCACAACCCTCTGCAGGAGGAAGCTGTAGGTCTGCAGACTAACCTGTCTGCAACAAGCAACAGGGACTCTGATAGCAGTGTCTGTGTGATCACAGGCCTAATTGTTACCAAATGCAAAGCCACATATGTGAAAGAATAAAGTAAATGCCTATTTTTTTTACTTAAAAAGCAATGCATAGCCTTTTGTGGTTTTGTCTGGTGCTGGGTACCCACCCAGCATCTGGTGATGTGATTGTCTGCCAATCGAGAGCCTCCCACACCATTGGCTGCCCATGCAGCCCCTGGACTGAGGACTTCACCAGAGAGCAGGGTGAATGGAGAAACAACCCTTTTTTCCATTTCATGAAAACATGTCAACTGGCCTGCACCCATTAGGCAGGGTCCTTAGGATCAGCATCCATCGTAGCAGCAGCACCCTCCCGTGATGGTAGTCTTGTCTTGCATGAGGCCAAGACCCCACTGGTCATCTCCCTTTTCTTAGTCACTATTATGACTCTGTGTGAGTCCTGGGCCCTTGGTTTTCCAGGATTTGGACATGTGTTCATCTCACTCTAAGCTGGGAAATTTCCAGCTCAGAGTACAAGTATAAATGGGACCAGCCTACTCCTGGTACCTGTACCAGCTGTCAACAGGTGATAACCCTTCACCCTAGCAGCTGGCCTATCATGCACAAACCAACCATCTGTGGTTTCCCATACATCCAGGAACCACTCTACTTTGTAGCTCCCTCAATTTGGGGTTTTTTGAGGTGTCTTTGTGCTATTGATTTCTACCTTCATTTTATGGCCGAGAGCTTGACATTTTTATTAACATTTTAAGAAGACACCGTGATATATTTTATATTTATATATATATATATATATAAAATATATATATATATAAAAAAAAAAATATATATATATATATATATATTTTTTTTTTTTAAACTATTTGAGGACACTGCTCTGAAGGCCTGGTGTTCCCCTCCCTGGAGTGATTGCAAAGCCATGAACCCCACTTTGTAATCCTGGAAACACAGGTAAAGCATAATCCCTAACAGCATGGTTCCCCAAAGGCCAAAGGGGACTCGTAACTGCTGCTTCTACATGTATGATTCAAGGCCATTGTCCCCACAGAAGGAGCCAGCAGAAGGGCAGAAAGCCACAAAGGAAGGGACCAGTTCAGGCTCTGCTCAAAGCTCCCCACGAGAGCACTGGAAGCATTTGCCTTATATCAATCCAGCAGGTGAGGCAGCAGCACCTGTCAAACAGCTATAGTGGCTGGGCAGGGCTAGCAGGTCCAACGCCCATATCGGGCTGACTCTTGAAGAGCCACCCTGAAATAAAGGCTGTGGCACACAGTCCATAGAGGGCTCTATTGGCTCTATTTTGACCAAGACTGGCTCTATAGCTTCCTGGATTAGCTCTAAGTTGGCCCTGTGTCCTGGAAGAGAGGGAGGCACAGAGTGGGAATACTCTAATGATGGATATGAAAGTATCTCTACAGAGTTTCATATTGTGGACTGTCAGCTTTGGTGTGACCAGAGCATGTGAGCTTGGGGTAATAGCTAAACCCCTTGCCCTGTGATCCTGACCATGGCCTGCCACACCTACCCTGTACCACTGACCCTAGATGGTAGGTGAAGATATGAGACGGTGCCATGCTAGAGAAGCAGCTTTCAAAAGCCTGGATCCAGGAGAGCCTTAGGCTGACTGTCCATCTCCAGTGCCAGACGTTCAGATACTCTGTGGCTCCAGGTTCCCAGTCCTAGGCAGATGAGCAAATGGGGAGGGCTCTTCTGCTCCCAGAGTACTACTTCCCTCTATTCTGTTCCTGGATGGGCCAATCAGAAGGTAGACCAGCAGGGACTGTCCCCCTGTGGGAGAACTGGCTGGCTTGTGGCGTCAACCAGAACACAGCAGGAAGTGCACAGCCTCCCTCATGGCTCCACCCTTCTCCAGTTAGGGAACATCTCCACTCCCGGAGACCCAGGTTCCTGGTGTGCCATAGCCCAGGCAGCATCCAGCTGGCAAGTGGTTCCCACAAGACCCTGAGGTAAGTTCAGTCATAGTACCCTTCCTGGAAGGTGGGTGGAGGCCTGTGGTGACTCTACTGGAGACCCTGGAGCTTGTACCCCCAAACAGCAGTAGGCACCGACAGTCAGGTGGCCTCCTTCATTCTCATCCCTTCATTTGATTAATCCTTGTACATGGTGGTGTAGTGTAGTCCTCCAGTGCTGGGACTGTGATGCTGTGGGGCTGGAAATAGGCCCAAGGTTCAGGTCCACTGGGTCAATCAAAAGGGAGAAATGCTCCTGAAGAATAAGCCTGCTGTGGCCATGTCTAGAACTTGAGCCACCTCCTCTGGGTGGGATCTTCATGTTCTCCAGGGGCAGGGGACTGAGCCAGGGAGACTATGGCCACCTTAACCCAGTCATATAGTCATTGAAGCCATTCACTGAGCAAGGCTCAGGCTTCACCTGTCCATTGGTAGAAGCCATGGGTGGTTCCACATGAGTAATGCCCCTATGTACAACAGGCCTGATCGATCCCCAGCATATGGCCAGAGGCCAGAGCTCATCTGGGGCAGAAAAGCACAGGATTTGCTGGTGCCCAGCATCTAAAAAACTGGAGGGGAACCACAGCAGATGGCTGGAGACTGTGAAGGACATTGCCTGCCCTTCCAATGTACCCCAGCCTAGCGTGGAGATGGACATGGTCCTGCGACGGCCAACCCTTATTTGCCCTCTCAGAATAGCACCATGCCACAGGCAGCTGCCATAGGACTATTGCATCACTGGCAGACTACAACGGAAGGCCTGAAGGACAAGGGGCCTGTCAGGGAATGAGGAAGTCTCACACAGGCCTGGCCCCTTGGCAGAGTGAGGAAGCCTCCAGCCAACCTTCCTCTCAACCCCAACCTGGACATTGGCCAGCCAGGGTCCATGCCACCTGAAACAGTGCTATGTAGGATAGCCTCTACTGGTAAAAGCTCCTACCTCTACGGGGTGCCAGGGCACTTTAGGGTAAAGAACAGAAGCTATAGCAGGGGTGCTTTACAAGGAGTGTTCCCTTAGACTCCAACCTGTCCCTTCCCTTGACATATCCAGGTGGCTCAGGCACAAAGTTCAAGGTGACAGAGGGGCAGGACAGCTGCTTGGGGAAGGTGAGTTTGATAGGTGGCCTGAGGACAGGCTGTCGGTACACCTCTGCTATTCCTCAGAAACTGCCAATGAAGCTGAGGAGATGAAGATGAGCCCTCAGATTTCCCTAGAATGAGTCCCTCATGTCCCTGCCCAAAGCCCTGACCTGTCACTCACAGGCCTGAGGCCTATTGCAGGCTGACTGCTCCAGGCCTAGCAGGAAACAAGGTGGGCACTTTCTTAGCTGCTCTCCCCTAACTGTAACCACAACCTACAGAAGACATGTCAGATTATGAGAATGACGACGAGTGCTGGAGTGCCCTGGAGAGCTTCCGGGTGAAGCTCATCTCTGTCATTGACCCCTCACGAATCACGCCCTATCTGCGCCAGTGCAAAGTCCTGAACCCTGATGATGAGGAGCAAGTGCTCAGTGACCCCAACCTGGTCATCCGCAAGCGGAAAGTGGGTGAGGGCTGCTCCCACACCAGTATGCCTTACTCCCTCGTAATCCCCACCCAGCTCCACATCCGTGGAGGATATATGAGTGAAAGCCTCCTCTCCTCTAGTCATGCGCACTTGCTGCTGCCCAGAGGAGGAAAGGGGAGTTCCCGCCATTGTTCAGGCCCTGAGAGCCATGAGGGTGAAGGCAGCACCTTGTCCTGCCTAGACTGAGACCTGTGCCTTATGCAATGGCCCAGATCCCTCTGCTAGGTAGGGCCCAGAAGTGAGAGGTGGGGAGTCTATATCTTGGGATCTCTACCCAGAGCAATCGTCCACTGTCCCACCCAGCCCCAAGGGCCTCCGCCTACTCAGAACTTGGCCATGACTCTCTCTTCCACCTGAAGGTGTACTTCTGGACATCCTGCAGCGGACAGGCCACAAGGGCTACGTAGCCTTCCTTGAGAGTCTGGAACTCTACTATCCGCATTTATACAGGAAAGTCACTGGCAAGGAGCCAGCACGTGTCTTCTCCATGATCATTGGTGAGAGGCACAAGGAGGGGTTGGTGCTGTGGGTGGAGTCAGGTGCTTTTATGATTGCTTGCAGTGAATAAGTCTGACTCAAGCCCTCTGATGCGCTTCAGGGCAGTGGTCCCTGGTGACTACTCTCAGGTGCTCAGGATCAGGGGATTGGTGGATTGCTGAAGTCCTGCTGGTCTCCAGAAAGGCAGCCCTTCCCTGCTTTCCCTACTCAGCCTGGGAATATTCACTGAGAAGTGGTGATCCTTCTAAAATATCACTGCCACAGGGCCTGATGGTCATCCAGGGGCAGAGGCGTCCTTTCCTGATGGAATAGCCACAACCCTATCAGTCTGCGTTCATCTCATAAAGATCATTGTAAATCTCATAAAGATCATTGTAAGAATAGAGAGGGCCAGGCATGATGGCACGCACCTTTAATCCCTCTGGAGGCAGAGGAGGCAGATCTCTGAGTTAAGAGGCCAGCCAGGACGAAATACGCAGTGAGACCTTGACTCAAAAAAAGGGTGGAGGGATGACAACAGAGAGCCACCTGGAGTCCTGGCCTGCGAATGGTCCTCAGTGATGAATTAGAATCTCATTCAGTTCACCCATGAGGGGCAGCAAGGCAGCTTGGGCCTAGAGAGCACACTCAGTCTTGAGGGAACCTTCCTACAAGTTTTCTCTGTGGAGGCCAGCAGTGCTTCCTCTGTCCTCACTCTGTGGGCTCTGTCTGACACTGCATGGTCCCCAGATGCATCAGGGGAATCAGGCCTGACACAGCTGCTGATGACAGAGGTCATGAAGCTGCAGAAGAAGGTTCAGGACCTGACAGCCCTTCTGAGCTCCAAGGATGATTTCATCAAGGAGCTTCGGGTAAAGGACAGCCTACTGCGTAAGCACCAGGAGCGTGTGCAGCGGCTCAAGGAAGAGTGTGAGCTGAGCAGCACTGAGCTGAAGCGCTGCAAGGATGAGAACTATGAACTGGCCATGCGCCTGGCACATCTGAGCGAAGAGAAGGGTGCAGCGCTCATGAGGAACCGTGACCTGCAGCTTGAGGTGATCACTTGCCCCACCTGCAGCGGGGGTGGTCTGGAGGAGGCTGTAGCTGACTGGACCACCCACAGGTGGACCGGCTCAGGCACAGCCTCATGAAGGCAGAGGATGACTGCAAGGTGGAACGCAAGCACACCCTGAAGCTCAGGCATGCCATGGAGCAGCGGCCTAGCCAGGAGCTGCTGTGGGAACTGCAGCAGGAGAAGGACTTGCTGCAGGCCAGGGTGCAGGAGCTGGAGGTCTCTGTGCAGGTAGGCTACCAGGAGGGCACACCAGGCCCCACATCTGCAGGGGTTTCCAGCTGGGCACACTAGATGGTTCATCTACAGTGGCTGTGGCATTGTGGGCATCCTCAGCCAGGCTGTTGCCCTCTACCACCTCCAGGAGGGTAAGCTGGACAGGAACAGTCCCTACATTCAAGTGCTGGAGGAGGACTGGCGCCAGGCACTGCAGGAGCACCAGAAGCAGGCCAGCACCATCTTCTCCCTACGAAAGGACCTCCGCCAGGCTGAGGCCCTCCGGACCCGGGTGAGAGACCAGGCAGGGAGGCAAACAATGCCCCCTGGGTAGCTTGGAAGGTGGGGTCTGGGACCTAGATCACGGCCTTACTTTCACCAATTCGATGTACAGTCGTGTCATGTCCACGGCTAGGGTCACCCTTTGGGCTTATAATGTGACCAATGGTGGTTGAGGCCATGGTCTTGGACCAGACTAGCCTACTGTGGCCTGGGACTCCAGTGCCTTCCCCATCATTTTAGCTAGCCTGATCTTGTGTGCTCTGGAGCTGTTGCCCTGAGTCCAGCCCAGCTGTCAGGTGGGCAGTGAAGAATGGGCGCAGCTGAGTGGTGCTCCCTATAGTGCATGGAGGAAAAGGAGATGTTCGAGCTGCAGTGCCTGGCCTTGCGCAAGGATGCCAAGATGTACAAGGACCGTATCGAGGCTATCCTGCAGCAAATGGAGGAGGTCTCCATTGAGCGGGACCAGGTAGGTACCACACATGTTCAGGAGATGAGAACAAGAGGGGTATTGCAGCCTTTGGAGTAGTGATCAAAGTTTTGTTTTGTTTTGTTTTGTTTTTTAATTTACACACAATGTAATTTGGCAGTGTTGCAAGGAAGAACCTGGGACTGCTTGTAGAAATGCAGGAAAGTT